GCCAATGGCTCTGCAATCACATCCGCCAACTCTTTTAGCACTCTCGGATGCAGCGCATCCTGCCCCATGGAGTTGTGCTTGTCCAGCTTTTCTAAATAGTCCCGAACCACTTCTTTCTCCACAGAGGGCTGGTCACCTCCTCCCCATGCTGTGCTGACCAGTGCAGCAGTCTGGGAGCTGACCTTGTTTGTGAAGACAGAGGCAAAAAAAGCACTGAGTACATTAGCTTTTTCCGCATCCTCTGTCACGAGTTTGCCTCCCTCATTCAGTAAGGGGCCCACACTTTCCCGGACCACCTTCTTGTTGCCAACATACCTGAAGAAACCCTTCTTCTTACTCTGAACATCCCTTGCCAACTGCAACTCCAAGTGTGATTTGGCCTTCCTGATTTCCCTCCTGCATACCCGAGCAATATTTTTATCCTCCTCCCTGGTCACTTGTCCAAGCTTCCACTTCTTGTAAGCTTCTTTTTTATGTTTAAGATCAGCAAGGATTTCACTGTTAATCCAAGCTGGTCGCCTGACATATTTACTATTCTTTCTACACAGCGGGATGGTTTGTCCCTGTAACCTCAATAAGGATTCTTTAAAATACAGCCAGCTCTCCTGGACTCCTTTCCCCCTCATGTTATTCTCCCAGGGGATCCTGCCCATCAGTTCCCTGAGGGAGTCAAAGTCTGCTTTTCTGAAGTCCAGGGTCTGTATTCTGCTGCTCTCCTTTCTTCCTTTTGTCAGGATCCGAGATCCTGAACTCAACCATCTCATGGTCACTGCCTCCCAGGTTCCCATCCACTTTAGCTTCCCCTACTAATTCTTCCCAGTTTGTGAGCGCAGGTCAAGAAGAGCTCTGCCCCTTGTTGGTTCCTCCAGCCCTTGCCCCAGGAAATAGTTGGGTTGCCATGTTCTGCTCCTCTTGGCTCCCACTTGATGATTATCTCTTCTGTTCATTCCCTCTGAAGCACCTGACACTGGCCACTGTCAGAAGAAAGGGCTAGATGGACCCTTGGTCTGACCCAGTATGGCCGTTGTTAATGTTTTTGTGTTCTTAGCTGCGCCTTAGTCTTGCTTCACATGTGCGTTTCTATTTCTTCTACTTGTCAATTTGGCTGATGCTAATCTGAAGTTCCACTCTCTTTAGTTATTAACTTTTTCAATATTGCTCCCCCAGAAAGACAGTAGGTACTATGTGCAGCTGAGATAAATGCAAAGTGGCTGAGATGAATCAGGGGACAATTAGAGCCATACTTTGAGCCCCAGGTCTGTGCAGAAAAGTGACTTTGTAAACAGCTTCTTTTGGTGAGAACTTTTTCTCAGGTACTTCTTCATCAAATAATCTCATATATGGCCCACTAACCATGCCCGCATCCCCATGAGGAGCAACGAATGTCAAGATAACCTGAGTAAGCATGTGCATTTTAGAGTGATTTGAATGTCTGAACCATAACAATAGAGATGGTGCATGACTCAGTTTCCCCTCTGATTTTGCTTTTTTACCCACTGGGTGTGAAGGAGTTAATTCCTTCTCTGGGAAAGGGGAAGTAATGGCTGTTGGAGTAATGGAAGTCTATGCAGTTTGGCATGGATACACTTTCAAGAACTGTGCCCTGGAGAGACAATGGAAGACCCAAGGACTGGACATTGACTCACAATGCCTGGGAGCCAAGGGTGTTCCCAGAACTTGGGAACCCAGCGGGACTGCAATTTGGCTCAAAGGGATTAGTTGTGAACAGATGGAGCTTTAAGGTTGGTATTGTCCAGGGCAGAGAGACTGAGACAGGGAGAGATGAAATGGAGGAGGCTTTGGGAAAGCTGGGCAGATGATACTGATAAAATTAGCTTTGTGTTAAGTTTTGCTTTACCAGACTAACCTAAGAATCATCAGATATATTCCAGCTATGTCTGGGTTCTAGCACACTAAAGGCTGGGGCATATCACACCTAGTCAATCCAGAGCCCTCTCTTTGAATCCTTCCACTTACTGTCCCTTCTCTAGCACATCAAACAAGTTGCTTATCTTCACTCCTAGAGCCTGTCCCAGCCTTTCCCCTCCTGACATGTCATCTCTTGTTCTGTGTTGAGCTGCCGACTCCCACCTCCACGGCCTCCATCACCCACTTGTTACCTTTTCAAACAATTCCCTTCGTGCCTTCTCCCGTGTTGCTCCTTGTGCTTTGAGTGGAGCTGCCCATGCACATCCCACAAACTACCTCAATTTCCTCCTTCCCAACCCTCCTTAACACTCTCCTTCTCCGTGATGCCTACAATGACATTACAACATCTTGTCTCCTAGTGACCAACATTGTCCTATTTGTTTCCTTGTGTTCGCCATCTGTCTGTCTCCATCTGTCTCTGGTCCTGTTCTTGGCTAGTCAGCTCTTTTGGGGCAGGGACTGTCCTTTTGTTCTCTCTTTGTAGAATGTTTAGCACAATTGGATCCTAGTCCATGGGGATGCCATGGAGTAGGTGATGTAGGGAGTTTGGGGCCATAGGCCAATCTTCTTCCCTTCCTACTTGTTTTCCTTTAAGCCCCCTATTAAACTAAACCAACTTATTCCCATGGTAAATATCCCAATATCCAGGTCATCATGCAGTATTCTTCAATGTTCCCCAGCTCCAATGCCGTCACAGCGGATTGGAGGATTTGGACCAAGGGGCACCTGCAGTGTGTGTGGGCAATGGCAGATAAGGAAAGGAAGGTTTTGGGGGTTGGAGCTAGGGGGATCCTAGCCCATTAACACAGAATCCCTGCGCACACCCTTTTGATTTAGAGCCTGCATTCCATTCTTATTACAGTCCAGTTTCACTTTATTTTACATATCTTTTTCAAATGTTATTTTCACTTTCTCCTCTCTCTGCTACTTAGTGCCTCCCCCCCCCACAACACACGCATCTCTTCCCTACACCCTGTGACCCAGCCACCATTCCTGACATCTTCTGTTCCTCACAGCAGCAGGACGACCCGTCCCTGGCACAAATGTGCACTTTCTTGATGATGTCATTGGTTGGTAGTGCAACTTCTGGGGACTCTGGGATAGGATACAGAAGGACCTAGACAAATTGGAGGATTGGGCCAAAAGAAATCTGATGAGGTTCAATAAGGATAAGTGCAGGGTCCTGCACTTAGGACGGAAGAACCCAATGCACAGCTTCAGACTAGGGAGCGAATGGCTAGGCAGCAGTTCTGCGGAAAAGGACCTAGGGGTGACAGTGGACGAGAAGCTGGATATGAGTCAGCAGTGTGCCCTTGTTGCCAAGAAGGCCAATGGCATTTTGGGATGTATAAGTAGGGGCATAGCGAGCAGATCGAGGGACGTGATCGTTCCCCTCTATTCGACATTGGTGAGGCCTCATCTGGAGTACTGTGTCCAGTTTTGGGCCCCACACTTCAAGAAGGATGTGGATAAATTGGAGAGAGTCCAGCGAAGGGCAACAAAAATGATTAGGGGTCTGGAACACATGAGTTATGAGGAGAGGCTGAGGGAGCTGGGATTATTTAGCCTGCAGAAGAGAAGAATGAGGGGGGATTTGATAGCTGCTTTCAACTACCTGAAAGGGGGTTCCAAAGAGGATGGCTCTAGACTGTTCTCAATGGTAGCAGATGACAGAACGAGGAGTAATGGTCTCAAGCTGCAGTGGGGGAGGTTTAGATTGGATATTAGGAAAAACTTTTTCACTAAGAGGGTGGTGAAACACTGGAATGCGTTACCTAGGGAGGTGGTAGAATCTCCTTCCTTAGAGGTTTTTAAGGTCAGGCTTGACAAAGCCCTGGCTGGGATGATTTAACTGGGAATTGGTCCTGCTTCGAGCAGGGGGTTGGACTAGATGACCTTCTGGGGTCCCTTCCAACCCTTATATTCTATGATTCTATGACTCATCTGCAGTATCCACAATCAGTCTTCCCTGTAGGCTTCTTGGACCTTTGAATCAGTCCCTCCTAAAGTCACATGGCCTGATCCATCGTTTTCACATTCTCCTTTTCCAGAGGAAGTAGAATCAGTTGTTTCTGAGTTATTGAAACTAATTCTGTAGACCTAACCACACTCTGGGAGATATTCATACTCCGTTCTGCTACACCTGACTTGCTAGATTCCCTGCTTCCTTAGAATGTGCTTTCCTGACATATAATACTAAGGCTAAGATTCTGTCACGGTTATTTTTAATAATAGTCATGGGCAAGTCCCAGGCAATAAACAGAAATTCACAGAAGCCCGTGACCTGTCCCTGACTTTTACTAAAAATAACTGTGACAAAATGGGGAGTGAGGAGGGTTCAGCACCCACCATTTCTGGGGGTCCGTTTCCCATGGCTCTCCCCCCCCACGGCCACCAGTGGTAGCTTGGAGTGCCGGGGTCCCCCTTGCCACCTGTGGTGGCTGGTAAGCTGCGGGATCTGCCCACGGTGGCTGGGAAGCTGTGGGGTTCCCCTGGCTACCACTCGTGGCTGGGAACTGCAGGGGTCCCTGCGCCAGCTGACAGCTCCTGCCCCGTCACCCCAGGGCTGAAGCAGAAAATGTAATGGAGGTCTCTGAAATTCACGGATTCCGTGACCGCGGTGACAAAATCTTAGCCTTAATAATACCCCTGACATACTGCATTCTGGGACATGCCTGCTCCTTGCTGTTCCTTACTGTGCTGAACCCCACAAACCCATGCTCACCAGCTCTAGCTTCTTGTGACTTTCATTGTCTCTGGTTCTTTCTCCACCAGTAAGAAGCATTTCTAGGGGGATTTCCTCTCTTTCTGGAGTCTGCACTGTCAGGGACAGGGAGTAACCTTACCTGGGTTTTAGGAGCCCCTTTGATGTTGACTGTCTGGCTGTGTATGTTCCCAGCAGAGATGGGGTTAGTTAAGTCCCTCGGAAGCAGGGAGTCTAGCTCATCTGGGGAGCTGGCTCTGGTTTTTTACTGCCTTAAAATGAGCTGGGTTTAAAATAATATCATATTTCTTTGTGACAAATGTCCCATGAATTCATCTGATCTCACTTGTTTTCTTCCCCTGAGCAGAGTTTCCAATTTCCAAACCTGACGTGATCTCCCAGCTGGAACAAGGGGATGAGCCGTGGGTCCCAGACCTCCAGGGCTCAGATGAACAAGAGATCCTGCGAGGTGCCTTCACAGGTGAAGAATCATTAAACCTACTTAAAACTGTCAGTGCCTGAAGGAAAGAGCCGGTATTCCCTACAAGGGCCTTGTGAACGCTCTCAGTCCAGGATTGTCCCCAGCAGGTGCAATATCCTCTGGGCAGAGATCTCTCATGGCTTCCTACCTATCCTGGCTGACACCTGGCAGTAGCTCCTTCCCTGACCTCCCTTCATCCTGAGTGTTTGGATAGGATGTGGAAACAGAATTGATCCCCTCCTCTTTCCCTTATGGGGAAGAGTTTGGGGGAATCACTTCCTGATTTTTTCCTCTATTTCTCTAGCACTTATTTTGGTTTCCTCTCCTCTTTCCCATTCCTACGTCTGAGGTTTTTCTCTCTCTATCCCAGCAGGTGGTGGGATGGTGAGTGAGAATGAGGAGCAGAATCCTCAACAGAAGGAGGCTGAGCATGTGGACCTGCACGGGGTATTGTTGCAAAGATCCAAATGGAATGTGTCCAGGAGTCATGAGCAGCAAAAAAGTTGTGAGAGTCAGCACAGGCCAGAGAGGCAGCAGGGAAACCCGCCAGAAGAGAAAGTGGGTAAACCCATTAATAGTCAGGGAACTCATGAGGACCTCAAGGGGACCACAGGCCAGCACAGAATCCTCACAGGAGAGAGAAAAAACACATGCACTGAATGTGGGAAAATCTTCCATAGATGTGCAGACCTTATTAATCATGAGAGAATCCACACAGGAGAGAGACCCTATGAATGTAGTCAGTGTGGGAAAACCTTCACTCAAAGTTCAGCCCTTAGTAGGCATCAGAGAATCCATACAGGGGACAGACCCTATGAATGCTGTGAATGTGGGAAAAACTTATCTGACAGATCAACCCTTATTCAGCATCAGAGAATCCACACAGGGGAGAGACCATATAAATGCAGTGAATGTGGGAAAAGCTTCACTGACAGGTCAGGCCATATTTATCATCAGCGAATCCACACGGGGGAGAGACCCTATAAATGCTGTGAGTGTGGGAAAACCTTCATTCAGCGCACAACCCTTGTTACACACCAGCGACTTCACACAGGAGAGAGACCCTATGCATGCCATGAGTGTGGGAAAAGCTTCACCTCCAGCTCAACCCTTGTTACACATCAAAGAATCCATACTGGGGAGAGACCCTATGAATGCTGTGAGTGCGGGAAAAGCTTCACTCAGAGCTCAGCTCTTATTACACATCAGAGAATCCACAGTGGAGAGAGACCGTATGAATGCAGTGAGTGCGGGAAAAGCTTCACTCAGAGCTCAGCCCTTATTACACATCAGAGAATCCACAGCGGAGAGAGACCCTATGAATGCTGTGAGTGTGGGAAATGCTTCACTCGGAGCTCAGTCCTTCTTTATCATCAAAGAATCCACAAGGGAGAAGAACACCATAAAAACCTTGTCTAGAACCGACAAAAGATTTTTTTATCTTTAATATTTTTGCTCATTCCCACATAGTGAACTTTAAAGCTATTTGCACCATTTCCTTCACTGTGGTACCTCAGCTGCCCCAGGTGAGTTGTCTGTTTTTGCCTTCTGCAGCTCCACCTTTTGGGGTGAATCCCATGGTCCTTTCTGTCAACTCCATAGTCTCCTATGCATCATGGGAATTTGTGACCCTCCTACAAGGAATGTTCATCACCTCCAGGTCAGGGAGATATACAGGTGACATCATCTAGCTATATCAAAGTAAAATCTTCTTGGTTTCATCTCCACTAGGATTTTCCATGGAGTTGGCTAGCTTGAGTTCACTATCATGATGTAAAAACCTAACTAGTCTTGCAGTAAGGACATAATCCACGTACAGTCTCCAGGTTATCTTCATGTCCTGACCTAACGTCCTTTTTCTAGTCTAAAGCAAACCTGGAGGAAGGATCAAATTTATACTCTTCCTTCCACTGCAAAATGATTGTTCGAGCCTCCGAGTTCACCCTTGGGCACAGATTGTCTCATTCCTAGTTGTCCACACATTTCCCTGGGGTGTACTGAATAAGAATTGTTTTGGTACCCTTTTTCTCATATAAAATAGATTTAAATATAACAAAGAGCAGAAGCAGGAGTGGGTGGGGGAGGAAGGGAAGTGTCATTTCAGGCTCTTGGCAGAGCCTGAAAAAGATGGAGGGATTCCATGCTTCCCCATCACTCCAGCACTCTTACCTTCTGTCTGAACTATGTAGTGTTTATGTTCTTCACATTTTAGCCCTCCACTCCCAAAGTATCATGTGATGCAGTGTCTTCAGCTTTCATAGTTTCACAAACTTTAATTCCAGAAGGGACCATCATGATCATCTTGTCTGACCTCCTGCACGTTGAAGGCCAGAGAAACCCACCCACCCTCTCCTGTAATAGGCCCATAACTGCTGGAAAATTAGTTAATCCACCTCCCTGAGAGGTGGTAGCCCTTCCCGCTGACATAGCACTGTCTACACAGGGGAGGAAGGGGGTTAGTATGTTGCTCAGGGGTGTGGATTTACACCCCAATCAACGTAGTTATACCAATACAGGGCTGTAGTGTAGACCAGACCTAAGTCTCCATTTGTACGGTAGGTTCTCCATGCCTCCAATCATCCTAGTAGTCCTTTGTGGTTGGGAATTGTCCTTTGATTTCTTTGATCCTAAATCAGACTCATTAGAGGTAGAGATGAAAGTGTCACCAACCTGGAAGGGGAATCTGAATGGATTCCAAACACAATGAGATCAGTCAGCATTGAAATCCCAGTTTCCATCTATGGGCAAAGCTACTCCTGAGGTTTTTCCTGCTGAGTTAGGATTGTTCGCAGGAGGAAATTTGGGTTGTTTTCCCTATTACAATGATGTAATGACCTTTAGTAAATAACATGACTAATAATAATGAAACTGCACTGGGTGAAGTAGGTTTGAACAGATCAGAGGAAAACAGGATGGGGAGAATCTCTTGTCCTGATTCTGAGTCATCAGATGTAATGTGCTCTGAAATTTCACTTTATATGAAATTTAAATTGTTGTATACCTCCTTGGGATGTGGGTTTTTCTTTCTCAGATTTATTTTGGGGGACTTTGAGATAAATGATGATTTGCTACAATAGGCAGGGATGGTGTCCTTAGCCTCTGTTTGCCACAAGCTGGGAATGGGAGACAGGGAATGGATCGCTTGATGTTTACCTATTCTGTTCATTCTCTCAGGGGCACCTGGCATTGGCCACTGTTGGAAGACAGGATATTGGGCTAGATGGACCTTTGCTCTGACCCAGTATGGCTGTACTTATATTCTTATGTTCTTATTTTACTTTTTACTTTTTCCCTACCTCTCCATGATGATATAGGGAAAGTTCCAGTCACCTGGAGACCATACTCCAAGCTACTGGACATGCTAACAAAGAAACCGTAGCATTTTTAAATCTCCACTCTGAAATGGTGAACAACATCAGACTAGGCAAAGGATGCAACTATCTGAAGTAACTGCATGTGATCACAGTAATATTCAATAGTTTAGGTCAGTATAGTCTCAGGTGATCTGGAGTGAGAATTCCACAGTCAGTGACTTGAAACTAGCCAAAATACCCATGTATTTGATCCCCGAAGCAGCTGTGACCCAGGCCTTACAGGAGATTACTTATGAAGATATCTCCTGCATAATCAAATAACATGGGAGATATTATTCCTAACTATGCAGATACAGAGGAAATAAAGGTGGTGGGTTTTTTGAACTCACCCTTTGTAGGTGCTGTAAATGTGTATAAAAGTAAATCAGTTTTGAATGCGAGATAGTTGCAGAAAAATATCTATTTTTTAATAGAAATCCCACCTCTCCTAGTTTACAGAGACTCTGAGATAATTTAGACATGTGCCACCAGTTTAAAGAAATACATTTGTCATGTTTGGAGATGCCATCCTCACTAACACTGATGAAATATTGCATGGTTTGGTGAAGAATTCTACTCCAGAGAAGTATAAATTTACCCCAAACAAGGCCAAGGATTTGGCAAGAACTCAGGTAGGTATAGCAGGTACCCGATGGTCAGATTTCACCCCCAAAAAGGAAGCTATGATGAACTATGATCCAGGTAAAATTGCTTTTAGAACACCCTTCACTACTTCAGTGTCACTGATTACAGTTCCAAAGGATGCCATGGATAAATTTGGAACTATTGCCCTTTACCATTTGGATCCAAAGTGTCATAAGCTAAAGAGAAAAACTGCTGATACCTTCAGAGAACACTCCTTTCCTGTAGATCCCCATCTCTTTTCCTGGTTGGGAAGCAAGGATTTTTGTGCTGTGCCAGTGATTGTATCCATCGAGGGAATGACTTTGTCAGCTTCCAAGTTCAGAGTGCAGCATACACAAATGTTGTGTTCTGTTTCTATGGTTTGGTCTTTTGATCTTGTTTCTTACGCATTTGCATCACTTCTCCACCATCTCCTGCTACTCTGAAAGATTAAAAAGTGTGAAAATAGGGTACAGGTGTTTTTCCTTATGATGCAGACCTGCCCACCTAGTGTGAGACATCTTCCACCAACCCTTACGGCAGGTGATCGCCGGGTAAATGAACTCACACAAGTTAGAGGCACCAATGTTGGGGTGAACCACCGCTTTACTCAAGGGTTCACTGGGTGGAAATGGGGGGTGAAAAGAAAGTAAGACCTATAATAGGGTTTTGCAATCTTTGAATATGTTGTGTTGGCAATGAAAATTAAATTAAACATGCAGTTAATTATTAGTTAGAGTAAGAGACTAATTATGTGATCATTCAAATTATACTGGAAATTATCAGGGTTTTTTTTAGAAATATAAGAAATGGTGGCTAATCCTGAAAAGCTTATTTGATGTAATTTACCCTCTTTGGTCTAAAGAGTTCTGAATTATAATGTCAGTCTAAAGATTGGGGTGGTGGAATATGTGAGAGATGTATATGAGAATAAAGACCTGGTATAGACTTCAGTTATTTCTATTTCAAATGAAATTTATTTTGATAAACTTTAAAGTATATTTCTGTTGAGAGGAAAACTACTTAAGGAGATAAGTTTTACTTTAACCTTTTACTCATTGAGATTGTGAGGGTCACTGAATTCCCCACTTCCCTTGTTTGCAGAGGAAAGATATGACATCTCTCATGATATATCCACATTTATTTTTAAGCTTGGTGATGGATGCATGATGCAATGAGTAGCTTTGCTGTTAAAAAAAATCTTCAAATAGCTATTTTTATGGGTGCTGAGACTCTTTGAACCCTGTGGCCAGTCTATGGAAACCTTTTCAAACTCGTCCTGATTATCTTTCATTTTTGATATCTTTGGGTTTTGCACATTCATGCTGAATGTGGTTTGCCACAATACATATCTTGAGAAAAAGACTGGATTAAAGGAAACTTTTCCAAACTGATGCTAGCCCAAGATCTGCCTCATTCCAACCAGATTGTCCACATTGTTGGTATCTGAGGCATTCTTCACATCTGATTTGCCCCGAGATCTTGGGGAGGCACCGTAAAGCAGGATAAGCTAGAATCGTCAACTGCAAAGATCAAGATAAAGGTTGAAGTCCTTCAACTTTCAGGTCAACAAGATATCTGAGAAAGATTGATCCCCTCTGGGGAGGGAAATCATGATATCAATGACAAGCTGTGACAACATCGATTAGTTTCCCTGTACTTGGGAAAGTCTCCTCCTACATATGAGTCGACAGAGTAAGAGAGCTGGAGCGCTCAAACGCTGCTATTTTAGTAGTTCCTTTATTTTTTTTTCATTCATTTGTATAATCTGGGGTATGCCCCCCACCTTTCTATCATCCTCGGTGTGACAGGGTGGTTCATTGAATACGTCTGTGTTAATCACCTGTAAAATCCACACTGGGAAGATGCCAGAAGGAATAGTTCCCCACATCTTTTGTGTGGCAGTTGTTACATTTCTACTGACGACAGCCTTGATAAAGGCTGTATCTGTGTTGGGGTGAAAAGGAGAAGGATTTAGTCACACAACAGTGAAATCTGAGGCGGAAGCTTTAATTGGCTTTGAGGTTGTAGCCTAAACGTGAACAATCATTTGATTTCAGTATTGAAATATTCACTGGTTTCAGTGTGGCTTGAGCTATGAGGGTGAAGTTCTCTGACTGGGGTTTATGACTAAATGGACAGCCTTCTCACTGGATTACTCTTCTAAAACAGATGAGTTGTTTATCTGTTGTATTAATCTGAGGATTAGATTAAATTGATGACTTGATTCCAAAGCAATATCATTGTTCACTCCTTGATTTACTGGTTCAACTTGAACTTGATAACTGTGTGTTCAACCCATAATAAGTTGAGTTATGTTTATCATAGTTTAGCCTTTGTGATGTATGTTTTTGATTTTCTTTGTTTGTTATAATAAAATGTCTCAAAGGGATGTTGAGTCATGTTTCTGTCAATAAGCCACATAGGCCGGAACTGTAGACAATCTGGGTGGAGATAAGGTGGCCCACCTCGGAGCTGAATCAGCAACCTGTCAATTAACCTTTGGTTTCCCACAGGAGAGCAGCTGAGGGGGGCATTGATCTCCGCTCCAGTTGCTCCTCAGGGGATTTGAAGCATTGCAAGGGAAAATGAGCTCCCCCACCTAGGCTTGTGGGAGCAGGGAATGGAGATCAATGTGCTGAGTGAGGAGGTGTCAGTTAGGTGGGGGTATTTCTGTGTAGGAGCAGAGAGACTTGCTCTGCTTCTCACTATCATGGGAAGGCCCACCCTGCGCCCCCATCTGGCTTGCCTGGTCAGGACTGGATGAGGTTGGGGGGTCTGGTTCTCAGGGTTGGAAATGGATGTGGCGCTGGCAAGGTAAATGTATGTGTGTT